TAAGATGACCTTTTTGGTTCTAGCTTATTATTAATACTTATATTAGATACATGTTTTATACAGATATATTTATATTAAACTATTAGATAAATATACAACTGGTTATATATATAACTTTTTCTATTACATATTTAAGGAGTCTATCCAAGGGTTTCTTACTAGTTTCTGTATCTAATACTCCTACTTAGATGTTATATTTAACCTTCTGATCTGATTCTAGTATTAATTTTACTAGATCACAGTTCAGATCTATTTACTTTTAAACATAGAACTATAATTCTTAGACTATTTTTATCTTTAAGGCAAACTTACCAGAGTGAGCCATATTCTCTTTTACTACTAACCTGGTTTGATGCTATAGTTAAGACCAACACTTGCAGTTAGAATTATCTATTAAACTGCTATTACCTTTGTAAAGTTTATCCAAACCTTGGTATTTATCTTTCTGATTTTTTCTTTATCATCTCCTACTAGTCATAACTTGGAACTAACTGACTTCTCAAACTTCTAATCCAGATGGCTTGGTATGATATACTTATATATTCTTTTTCTCTAATGATTCTAGTAGCCTGATTGGTCATATGCTCCTTTATATATCTTGTCATCTAGTTTATCTAACAGTTTCTATAAAAGTGTTTTATAGGCTTTTATTAGTCCAATAGCATTATTGAAAGTTTGTACTATCTCTTTACTCAGGATTTCTAAGTAGGTTTCTGTTTTCTCAGTTTTTTAGTCTTTATGACTAGTGGTCTTATTACAGGTTTGCACCAAAGCCTTATATAATACTGGTTTTTTATATTTCTTTATGTATTTGTAATGTTATACTTTATATAGATGCTCTGAGCTTCCAATGTTAGATGGGGCCCAACTTGGTGTATCTAAGATTACAGATGCTCCAAACTCAACCAATTAGCAAGAAACAGTTATCATAATACTGATATAATTTTCAAAATTTATCATCTATAGGAATTAAACTTTAGATCTGTCACTTAAGGGTTAATAACTTATCCACTTTACTAGATTATTACATTCTTTATTAATACTTTTATAATAATGTAGTTTTATATAGAACTATTATAAAAAGAATGTATAATTGGTTATATATATAACTTTTTTATATTACTTATTTAAGAAGTCTGTTTAAAGGTTTCTTATCAATTGTTGTATATAATATCTTTACTTGAATATTTTATTTTAATTTATTGTATTACAAAGTAGATTTTAGTATAGTATATTATAAAATAGTATTAGTAGTTATATATATATATATTTTTTCTCCTTAGGCAGTTATATTAGTACTTTATTAAGATTCATGAAATTACTTTTGCAATTACATAGATGTACCTAACAACTAAGTCTAGCATCACCCAGCCACCCTAATAGTGCCTAAGTGCAACCTGTTACATTACTTCAAACAGAAGTAAGCTGCTTGTCTAACTACTTAAAGTTCATAATGAAAGGGTCTTTACTCTTTTACAACAAGCCTTAAAATTGTCTTCCTGACTTCATCTTTGATTCATTTTTTCTTTTCTTTTAATTATTAAGCAAGAGGGTTCTATAATTCTTGTCTAAAGAACAACAGGATATAAGAAAAAAAAACCTAAAAAGGGAATAAAAAAAAGAGAGAAACTAACTACAAAACCTAAATGTAAACTAAAAGAAAAAATAAAAAATAAAAAAAAAGAAGAAAAAAGAAAAAGAACTAAAAGAAACATGAAGGCACTATTTTTGCCTATATTTGGTTTTAAAAAATTCTATATAATACTAAATAAAAAATACTTCACATTTGTTTTATCTCTGTATTATAATATATTTCATTTGTCATATAGAGAAAATGGTCGAAGTTTTTATTTTCCTCTTAAGTTTGACACATGTCATCTATTATAGGTCCGATACTTGTCTTATGATTTTTTTGTAACTAACATTATTAATTTGAAAAGGTAAACAGTATTGATCCTTTGAAAAGGATACAACAGATTTTTCACTTTTTGATAAAAATTTTGAAAGAAAAATCTAATAGTAAGAGCAGAAAGAAAAACCAACTTGAGAAGAAATTATAAGAGTTATGCTATATAGAATATTATATTAAAACAAGTAACTATTTAGACCTAAGCCCTTATAGCACTTGACAAAGCTCCAGAGCTTATCTACTACTTCTTTGCTTAGTAGTACTTGTGTTTTACCAAAGGACTTTGCTTACAAGAGTTTGAGTCTTTTTTAGCTCTTTTCAGTTATAACTAAGCATATAGTAAATAGCCTTCCTAGTTATTTTAAAGTAGAGTTTTGTTATATTTAAATATAATAACTATATAGTTTTTATAGATCAGACTTTTAAAAAAAGTTGGTGTAAGAGATCATTAGAAAGAGTTGTATATTAATATTTGTACTATTATATTGAGTAGTTATATATAATCATTATTGTATTTTATATATTATATTTATTATTAGTTATTAGTTATTAGTTAGCTGATAGTTATATTATATAGTAGATAGATAAAAGAATTTTAATTGGCTATTAGAAATATGGTACAACTATATGACATTAAGTAATATTTGTAATGTTACTATCATCTTACAAACTTCAAGTACTTCTGTACAAGTTTCATATATTCTAGTATCAAATTACTATGTTAAGTGCTGTAACACAAGAATTCCAAGTATCTTTAATATAAACTTCAAGTGTTTTTATACAAACTTCAAGTATTTCTATACAAATCCTAAATGCCTTTGCACAGATCCAAGTGTCTAAACACAAGCTTCAAGTGTTTCAAGTACAAATGACAAATGATATAAACAATATCTTTAGTTGCCTTTGTACAATTCTTACTATTTCAAGTACAGTATTATTTAATATTGTTTGAACCTTCACTATCCTAAGTATAATGATGTCTAATATTGTTTGAACCCTCATTATCTTAAGTACAGCATCAAGTAATATTACTTGAATCTCTATTATCTTTGCTAGATAAAAAAATATATAATGAATACCTTTTTTTCTTTTTTACTAATTTTAAGTTTCTATACTTCAACTTAGATATAATAATCTTTTAATTATAAAATGTAATATTTTCCCATTAAGGTAATTCCTACAAGCAAGATTGTTACCATGTGTGTTGTTAATAAAAAGTTAATTTATATACTATTATTATCTTGAATTATTTGTCTACTATTGTATAATAAAGTAAACTATTATATCTTTATCTTGTATATATTTGCAATAGTTTTTACTATATTGAATGATTTTGTTACTTGGTTGTATTGTATTAAGAAAACTACAACTCTGTAACAATTGTTTTAATTTTAGAACTATTTTATCTTTAAGATAAACTTTTTAGAGTCTTCTGTAGCTATTTTTATAACTGACTCAATATTATTATAACAAAACTAATATTTATAATTAGGACTAATTATTAAATTACTATGCTTTTACAAAATTTACTTAAATCCTAATACTACTTCACAGTATATTCAAAATATTTTAGTATACTCTGTATTGTTATCAGACTTCTAATTCAGATAGTCTAATAGAACTATAATTAGCCTATTAGTATTATAATAAAATTTACTAAAAACTAGCAAGTTGTAGTAATTTTAAATGCACGAATACTGAATAGAAGATTTTTTATTTAAAAGAAAATAAAATAAATAAAAATAACTAAAAATAAGAAATAAATATTTAAAAGTAGAATTTAAATTTAATAGCTTCCTAGGTATTATAAGGTACAACAATAGAACTAGCTTTTAAACTAATTCTATTGTTCAGTCTGTGCAGATTAGGTATAACAAAATGTTTATTCTAAACAAGAATTATTAGACTTTAAAACTTAGAAATGTCTATAGAATATAATCAGAGAAAGAAAAACCTTAATAATTAAACTGTTTACAGCTATATATGATTTTTAAATTCTAATAATATAAAGCTAATATTTGCCAAATAACTAATTAAGAAAACCAGCTATTCACTTTATATTATTACAAGAAAAAGAACAATAAAATAAATAAAATAAAGCTAGTATTTGTCAAATAACTAATTAAGAAAACCAGTTTTTCACTTTATATTATTATAAGAAATAAAAAAGAAAAATAAAAGAAATAAAGATAAGGCAAAAATAAATCAGCGACCTGTCGCTATGCAACCCTTTTAAGATTAACCAATCATTTTTAGACTTTATATTGTTACTTAGCGTATAGCACATAGCATATATGGAGTTCACTATCATATCAGTATATTGCTTTGTTACATGTTTCATTTTAAGAAATTTCACAATAATAAAGCTGCAGGAGCAAAATGATTCAATAATTTTTATGCAGTGTGGTGGCTGCCACGAACTCTAGTACATATAGTGTAAACCAAAAGACTCTCCTACTATTATATATATCTCTTATGACTTTAACAGCAGAATATATTGTACCCGGGTATTTGAGTCCACACTGTATGATAATTACTTATTTTTGCTTGGTGTATATGTTGGCAAACAGTGTGTTTTCTGATTGCGTTCTGAAAGTATTTTTTATTTTGATGAAATTTCTACTATGCAATAAAATAAGAGTAACAAAACAAAAGTGAAGCTAAAGGAAAAACTAAAAGTAAGAAGTGAAAAAAAAAGCAAGGGAACGAAAATCTTAAATGGCAAACGAAGTAAGAAATAAAAAAAAAAAGGAAAAACAAATCCTGCGGTAAAACAGCAAATGAGAAATAAAAAAATCCTACGGTAAACAGTAAATGAAGTGAGAAATAAAAAAAAAAAAAAAAACTAAATTCTGCGATGAAACAACAAATGAAATGAGAAATAAAAAAAAAGAAAAAGATCCTATGGTGAAATGGCAAGCAAAGTAAGAAATAAAAAAAAAAATAAAAAAATCCTGCGGCAAAACAAGAATAAAAAAGGAATAAACCTCTTTTTTGTTTAAAGCAAAAATTCATCTTATGTTTTAGCTGATGGTATTACCTTCAGCAATAATAAAAAAACTTAAATATAAATGATTCAAACTATCAAAACATGAAACTTGAAGTTTTGGACAACCAAAACATAGAACCTGAAGTGTCAAACGATCAAAACGTAGAACCTGAGGCATTGGACAATCAAGATGTAGAGCTTGAAGTGTTAGCAGTATATAATAGCACAGATGATTTCTCTGATATCGATATCGATAAGTAAGTAATGTGATGCCTTATGTTTTATTTTACTGTTGACCTCTTTTTTTCTCATCACTATTTTTGCTTTAGTTTTGATGATATTGAAGGATTCTCTATTGGCAAAACTTTTAAAAATTGGGATCAAGTGGCGGACTTCATGAAAAAATACGCTATTATTAAAGGCCATAGAATACGAATCGGTGGTGGTGGGTGAGTAAATTTAAAAACAAGATAAATGATAAAACGGATGTATTTGTGTCACCATACTGGAAAGCCAGCAAACTCGAGTGGGGTGTCTTGCCGAATAGAGTGCTCGTGAAAAGTCAATTTTTGGTTCAAGAATGATAAAAATTGCATCGAAGTCACAACTTTTAATAACCAGCATGTTGGGCATAAACTTAATCTACTAGCAAGACAGTTTGATCCAACGTTACGCAAGTTACCAAAAGAAATTGTTGAAGAAATTTGTTTTTTGACAACGGTTGCAAAAGCAAATGCGACTATGCAGTATAGAATAATCAGAGAAAAGTATAATGTTAGAATATACTGACCAGATTTGTACAAAACAATTCAGATGTTTTGGTGTGATTCTGAACCAGATGAAGATGATGCAGGAATGTTACTGAAAAGGCTTAATGAAAAGAAAATTGAAGACCCTTGATGGTTTGTTTTAATGGAATTTGACCCAGTCACTTCTTCTTTAACTCACCTTTTCTGGATGAGCCCAGAGCAACAAATTTTATGGTTACGATACTATGATGTAATAATGCATGATAATACATGCAAAACTAATCGATATAATCACCCTTTGTCTATTTTTGTTATGCCTGATAATAATTTGAAAACACAGATTGTAACCCAAGCCATTGTTGATGATGAAACACAATCCTCTTATGAATAGGTTTTTAAATGTGTTGTAGAAGCAACTGGATTCACACCAAAAGTCTTTGTAACAGATGGTGACCCGGCAGTCAATGGTGCTGTTGCAACACAATTTCCCAATACATTTCATGTACATTGTATTTGGCACATAAGCCAAAATTTACCAAAAAATTTAAAAGGAGTAATTGGTTCTTATTATGATAATTTTATTAAAGATTTTTATATCATGAGAAACAGTTTAACAGAGGAAAAATTTAATAAGAGGTAGGTAGTAATGACTAGAGATGCAAGTGAATCATCTCAATGATAATCATCCATGCTATAACTTGCCATAACTATAGCAAGTAATATAGTAAGTTACAGTATTATAACCGTAACTTACTATATTATTTGCTATAGTTACAGCATGTAACGATATTATTACTCTATTCTAATTATTTTTACTTATTCAAAGATGGGAGAAATTACTGCAAGATTATCCACAATCCAGTAACTATTTAATAAGATTCTTAGGCTGTTGTACTAAGTTGTGGGCTCATGCATTTACTAGCAGATATTTTACAGCTGATGTACAATCAACCTCTCGAAACGAAGGTGAGAACTCAACATTAAAACGCCTTTTTGGAAGTTCAAGTCTTTCGTTATGTGAGCTGTTTGAGGCCTTAGAAGAAAGATACCAAGAAGAAACTGATTATTGTAAGTTTGTAAGCTAGAAGCAGACGATTCCACAAATAGGACCAAAAAATGGGGCAAAGGCTATTTTTGAGCCAGTCATACAACAATTAAACGAGTTTGTAATGCCAAACATAATGAAAAAACAGGAGAAACAAATGAATTTGAATTTTTATTACCATGCCGTGGAGATTGATCTTAAAGCTGTGTTTTTTAAAGAGAAGGTAAGATTTTTATTATAATCATGTTAATAATTATCAGGAATGATGCTGAAAGAGTTTTTTTAGAGTTAGATTAGAATTTAGAGTTAGTGTTTATAATAAAAGTATATAGGTAGAATTAGTATGATTTATATTTTAAATCAAGACCCAAGTTTTAGCATTGTCCCCAACAGCATTAGCATTATTTCAAATTTCGGCCCTAATTTGGGCCAAAATTCGAAATAATGCTCATGCCCACTATTTGAGAATTTACAGTGTGGCATGTTTTATAGCAATCATAGACATAAGCTTTAATTATTTGTCTATATTACTAATCATTATTTTTCTTAATCAGTTATTATGTTAGGAAGTTGATGAATCTGAACAATGCATTGATAATTTGTTTGACTGCCTACAAATACAGCTGAAATCATTTCTAAACGATTTTTCAATAATTCTTGAATCCTAGGAAGTTACGCACTTATTAAGTTCTGGCACTTCTCATTTTGTACATCTTTTAAATGATAGCACCTTTATTTGCACTTGTATGCTCAGAAAGTCTTATGAATACCCGTGCTGTCACTTTTATCATATTATGACCCTAACTTCCAATGCAAGATTCCATATCGGTTTAGTCAATAGGCACTGATACAAAGATATTTTGCAAGAAACTGATATAACAAATAATGAATTCATAGTCATTTCTTCGGGCATATGTATATCAACATCAAAAGCACATATTTTGCCAACATAATTTTTGCGTAGCGAATTCGATGTTAATGAAGCTGAAGAATTTGCAAATTGTGGTTCAAACCAGTCACCTAATGAAATATCTAAGGCTATTTCGAAAAAACACAAATTCAGTGAACTTTGGGGATTAGGAAAAAAAATAATAGTCAACACAATTGAGAATAGTAATGAAGATATTTACTATAAACTTCTTGGGTTTTTTACATCTATCCAGAATAGAACATTGCCACAGAGAATTATTAGTGAAGTTAGTGATGTTGATAACTTTAGCCATAAGATTAACAATGATGGTTGTATGATAAGTATTCGAAATCCTGTTAAAAAAAGATCTAAAGGTCGTTCAAAATCAAAAAGAATTGCAAATGCTTTTGAGAAGTCCGATACAAAAACAAGTTACAAATGCAAGATATGTAATAAACAGGGTCATAATAGCAAAACTTGCAAAAAAAAAAAAAAATCAAACATTAATACAAATAATGCAAATGATGAAATTGAAAGGTAAGTATAATGTATGCAATCTAAGGTGCCCACAAAGTTTAAATCTTCAAACTGCAATAATTTAGTTTGATTTTGGATATTTAGTATCTGAAATTATTAGATGTAGGAACAAATACATGATTATCACATGTCAATTTGTTACACAGAATTTAATGTTAAAATTCAAAAAAATTTTTTTTTGATTTTCATGCACTGTAAATGTATACCAACCAATGTACTATTATGACCGTATACGTAGTGAATGTAAGTGTGAAATATAGGTGTATCTATATTTGATATGCCTACTTCTTATTAAAGTGTTTGTTAATTTAGGTTATGAAGAATTATCGACCATGTCTACAAGTCACGAAAGTGTTCGAGATATGTCAGATACAGAAGAATCAGGTATTATTTGACTCGTTTTATAGTTCAATAATGAGCATTTTGTATTCGATATATTATTTTTTACATGCTCACTTTTTAGTAGGACCAAGTAATCCTGTAGTGTTGATTTCGTCATCTACACAACCAATTGACTTTCAAAATTGTGAACGTACACAAAGGCAATGTAGAGTTTGTCATGAAAAGGAACATAATTCCTGAACTTGCCCAAATAATATTTAGATTAATAAAAAAAACTTTAACAATGTGACCAATAAATATCGACCCAACTTTGATATACTTCTTTTGTGTTTATTTGTTTTTTTTTTAAAAAAATAATTGTGAAGGACTGTATAATGTGATCTTATATAGGTTTGCATTCAAATGTCTATTCTGAATCATTAATATAAGGGTTAAATCTTAAGTATAATTAGTTTTGAATTCGAATTTAAGAGTCCTAATTAGTTTAAATTATTTTTAATACACTGATTAAGAGGCATTAAATATAGTAAATTAGAGTTAAGTTATCTTGTTTTATTTTATTTTTTATTTTTTAGCTAACCTTTCTGTAATTTATCGGTCGATCAACATATAACCTAAAGATTTAACAGTGCACCAACATCAATGTGATGGGAAGTAATCTGTAGGTATGGCAATATTGCGTAAGTTCTTAAATCGTACACTATATTTGGGCTATAAGACGTGCTAAAAAAAAAACTAGTTTGCAGCCCCAAATTTTTTATCAATGAAATCGAAAATAGAAACAATTAAAAATAAAATTACTATCGTTTAGCACTGCATAAAGTATCCTACAAAATGATGCCCCATAATTAAGGCCTGGATATTACTTACCATCCTGCTAGCTATTTCTTGAATAAGACCCGAGGGTATAACTATATTAATTTATTACTTTTTATATATACATTCTCCAAATTTAGTACCTGGTTCTATACAAAGTACCCCAGTATTAATTAATTTTGAAAATGAAGGCTTTGAATAAAATCCTGAGTGCTAGGTGTAGTGCTAAATGGTAAATCCTAAAATAAGATTTGTGTTACTATGAGCAGTGTTAAAAGCAAGAATTAATGCTTCATCTCGTTAATAGGGAAATAATGCTTTCTAAAACATTCTTCCATGTTATTTTTGGTGAATATAAGATCTATTTTAAGTCGCAAGCTTTAAAGGTTATCATTAATTAACACCAACTTTTAAAGCAGAAATTAAAATCTGTAAGAAATTATTTTGCAGAGATTCCAGTAGGTATGAAATCTATTTATTAATAAATTTGAATCCGTATTTTCGTAAAGATTTGTTACTTATCAATAATTCTCTATTAATAATTTGAAGTAGGAATCCAAGCTTGTAAAAATTTGGAACCTTCCAAATCCTCTTTTCATTTTAATTTAGATAGTTATAAGGCCATTGTTAGTATAGTTCAAAACCATAATTAAGAGTTTACCATTTATTGATGCATCTGTACATTAATTTATCTTAAAATAGGGATTAAAATTTGCAAGTCTCTTCATTAATGGGTTTTCACATTAAGCTTAGTAGGTCATAGTAAATATGTTTGTTTATTTGAAGACTGTCGTTTATTAATATCGTCCTAATCACTTCTTGAATTCTAGATGCTATGATAATTTATCTTTGTAATTGTCAAATATTTCATGAAAATTTAAAATAAATAAAGATTTTTATTTAGAAGTGTATCATACTTAGACTCTACAAAATCTTGAATTTAAATCAAATATTTGAAATTATTTGATCAAATTTTTAATTAATTTGATCAAATAATTTCAAATATTTGATTCAAATTCAAAATTTGATTTGATTTGCAGAGTACTAGCTTTATCAATGTAATGTTCATTAATGGTGGTCGAAAATTCTGGTTTATACTTTTTCAATTAGCTATCGTACTATAGAACATCAAGTAGATGTTTTACGGTTTGGTTCTTCTATCTATAGTTGTTAGTAGAAAAAACCCCTTTGCATGATAACAAAATGAAATAACCTGTCAAAACTCTGTAACATTTGGCTTTTTCATCACAAGATTTAATCGTTCGTTGAAGATAAATTTGCGGCTATGCAATGGACTGATGATCAGGTTTAAATAGTTTTGATAACAAACAATTGCCATTTGTTACTATAATATAACTACTTGTAAATTGTTATATAATAGTGTTTTTTATTTTTTAAAATTTAATAAAGTTATTTTTTGAATTGGTTTTATTTTATATATATTAAACCAACCTATAAAATCGATTTCAAACCATATCATATAATCAATTTTGATTGGTTAATCATGAGGTCGTCATGGCAACAGGTCGCTATAAAATAAAGCCCTAAAGATAAAATATAGAGAAAAATAAAATAAAAAATAAAATAAAGAATAGTTTTTATAAATAATATTTAAAGAATAGTAGTTAAAGGTTATTTTA